CATTTCCCCCTTGAGCCATCTCATGACACACTTTCCCACCGTTGCTGAGTCCGGATGAGAGGAAGTGTTTAATGCAACAATAAAAAAACGCGCACTGTATAGCAAAGCTCCGACCAGCAGGCAGGTACACTGCAGGGGAAATGAACTTTTACCCACTTAATGGTGCTCCATCTTTTGAAATAAGCGGAGGTAGTTTATTAATTAGGTTCACGTCTTATTCACGTTTTATTAAGAATGAATGTCACGTGCTTTCCTTGTTTATTTTTTACACTGCATACATCAGCGTGCGTCGCCGTGTATATGACTGCTGTTGCCCATCCGGGGGACCTTATCTCTTCACACCGGAGTGTGTGGAACTCAAGCCCCCGGCCGGCCGCCGAAGAATAGCGGTCGTTAAATATTCATCCTCCGTTCCCGGTGGCACACTTTTCCTCCCTGCAGACCGACCCTTACTGCTTCGAGACCCGCTAGAGCAGCAGCAAAGGCGTAAAGCTGTGTGAGTAATTAAGATTTTTTTTAATTAAAAAGGGGATTGTTTTTTATTTTATTTTGATTTTAGTCTTTCGCTCTATCTTGACCCGTAGGAGGATGGTGAAACGTGAATATGGAGCTCCAGTAACGTGAGGCTGCCCGTTCCGAGGTCTGGTGTGTGCCAGGGAAAGGTTGGTTATAGGTGCATAAATCCACACCCATGCCCCCTCCCTCCATGCCTCCCACATACAGTGCACATCTATCTGTTTGCCTGCATGCTTTGGCTTTGGTGGGTCTTATTCTCTCCTGCAGTATAATGTTTTTCCTGGAGCTGGATTGTTTCTCCCAGCCCGTTATTATAAGACTAAACTAAATCATGTAAGGAAATGCAGAATTGTTAGGTAACTGCTGTGTGTTGTGCAAGCTTTTTGCCACAGGCCTGTAAACTTACCTGATATCCGACCAACTCCTGACTACAAGAAGTGCTGCAGGTGTAATGCTGCTCCACTAGATAGCAGCAGATTACTGTGTGTGTATGTGTGTGTGCACGTGTGTGTGGATGTATGTGTGCAAAGTGACAAAGATGGTCTACAGCTTCCCCTTGGGACCTGAATGCGTTTGATGAGCCTCATCAAGTCCACCTCTGTCATAACTCTGCTTTTTTTGCCCCCTCCCGGGCATTTATACCAGTTTCTCTATGTTGTCTCTTCTCCGCAAATTCTATCAAAAGATGGAGGACCACCTGCCAGCAGCGATTGCTTTGGGAAAAGGGAGACTGGCTGCAGCTCAGAGCTTTTCACATTTGATAAGGGCTTTTCATTCTCCTTCAAAGGCGGATGTACAGTTTGAAACAAACTGTGGGAAAGCCAGGGGAAGAAAAAAAAAACACTCTTTCATCACACTCTCCATCTATTTAATACACACGTGCACCCACTCAAAGGCATCTTTATGAGCAACCCTGTGCACACATGCACTGCTTGTGCCCTTTCCTGGTGTGTAATGATCAGATAGACTTACATCCAGAGACCAAAAGATCAGGATCTGGCAACCCAACACCTATACTCTGTAACAGGACTGATCCAGCAATCCGACCCCTTCCCTCTCGAAGAGGAATAATTTGGTTGATGGCACTAATAATCACAGCCCTGTTACTGATCCTTCACTGGTTCTCTGTGTATGTGTGCGTGTGTATGTGAGAGTCATTCCTCTGTCATTGATACCTAGAGGGAAGACGTCATATCTCTAGCAAGTGGGTGCTTCTCCTGCCTCTGCTCCTTCTTCTGCTGTTACGTATGTGGAAGTAGGTTGGTGGTGGCTGCATTGCTCATTTTGAGGCTGTTTAAATATAATATTTCTTGAAAAGAAGCCTGTGTGAGCAGGACACACACACACATGCACACAGCTGACAGAGTTCAGGAAACAGAGTTAGAGAATATTTAAGGTTAGATAGCATAAATGTGTGTCTGGGTGGTCAGGTCAGGGTTGTTATTTATTACATCTTTGTGGGGATGATGACATTTTACTGCCAATCAGGCTTATCTTATGCATCCCATGTCTGTCTACCTCTCTTTTTCCTTCTCTGTCTCTCTCTCACTATCTCAACCTTTTGTATTATTTATGCCCCGCCCCCTCAGCCGCCCAGAGATCTCAAGTTTCACCTGTAGAGCCAGATGACAAATTAAGACTCCTTCTACAAGCTGCCAAAAGGAACTCTTTAAACCTACACATATACACACATACACGCACATTGGTTGTCACACACTCTGAGGAGGGCTTGGTGAACAGAGTGGCGTGTTGAGTGAGAGAATGTGTTGTAGTGAGCAACAGAGGACAGAGTAGGTCAGAGGAAGAAGCTCGGTGTGACCCAAAGACATTTGCCCAGAGTTTTTTGCTGAAGAAGAAACTTGCAAACAGGACGCGTCAGATTTGAAGACTGCAGACCCCAGCCAAGAGCGCAGCACTTCCTCTTTTGTGACGTTTTTTTTTGTCAGTGAAGTGGAGGTGACTATGATGGGAAAGGTTTGGATGAATGATTGCGGCTTTAACTTCAAGTCTACAGATGAAGCACTGACTGGACCGTAGAGGGAGTACAGCTGGAGCTGGTGAAACAGCTCCATATGTTGTTTGTGTGTTTTCAGTGCTTGCAACTGCACAAACGCAAACACCGTAGGGATCAAACTGTGTGGAAATGAGTAAAATCAACACAGTAACAATCTCCTTTCAAAGAGTTTGCAGTGAGGTTTACAGTCAACACGTTGCATACTAATGTAGAATTGCAATTTACAGAAGGCTTTTAGAGCTGACCTTAAAGCCTATAGTACAGCTGGACATTGATAGATGATGGCTCTTTTCACTGAGGTTGTGTATCGCTAAGAGATTTCTGCATGGAAACTGGACATTTCTAGATAATGTCTTTATATTGTAATATAGAGATAGGTAAAGGATATGATATTACGACAGTATTCGTGCTAAGACAAGAACACTGACTTATCTTACTAAATGCATTTTACTCATGTTTCTGAATGTGAGAGCAATATTAATGTTAGTCTTATTTGTATGTGTGAGATTGTAGACATTCATCTATCTATCTGTCTATCTATCTATCTACCTGCACAGAAGCCTTCATGGGGACCCGATCTGGGCAGTGTCAAACTGCTTTGGCCAGGTGGACCTGTCCTTACACAGATACAGAACCCGCATATAGCTCTGGCACAAAGTCAAACAGGCACATATAAGGCAAGGAGTCTTTTAAAGGTCAGACTTTTTGGAACACAACATGCCTTTTATTGAACTTGAGACATTCTCACGGTGGTGCCTTCCAAACTCTACACATGTGATATCTTTCTATTTGTCTTTTGAAGGTCAGCTCCATTGCATCTCGTAGAGAGGGCATGGTGTGCCCTTAGCCAAAATGCCTGGCAAGAAAGACCCCAAAAAGGACGCAAAGAAGGGTGGAAAACCTGAACCAGAGAAAAAGAAGGAGGAGGAAAAGAAAGGCAAGGATGACAAAAAGGGAGGGAAGGACGACAAGAAAGCCAGCAAGGATGATAAGAAAGGCGGAAAGGATGATAAAAAGGGTGGGAAGAAGGGAAAAGAGGAACCGCCCAAGGGGAAAGATGATGGAAAGAAAGGAAAAGACAAAGGGAAAGGCAAGAAAGTGGAGTCTGAGGAGGAAGAGGAGGAGCTCCTGAGCGATGAAGAGGATGAAGAGTTCAGTGATGAAGAGGATGAGGAAGACTCAGAGGATGATAGGAGAGGGAAGGGGCGAGGAGGCAGGGGAGCTAAAGGAAAGAAAGTGGGGAAGTCTAGACGGGGTGAAGACTCAGAGGAGGATGATGATGATGATGAAGATGAAGATGACGAGGAAGACGAGGATGATGAGGATTATGGGAAATCCAAAAAAAAACCCAAGGATGATCGCCACCATAAAGGAGGGAAATCCGATGCTGACGCAAAGAAGAAAAAGGGCAAAAAGAAAGAGGAAACACCACAGATTCCAGGGAAAGAAATCCCAAGGAAAGGTCTGAAGAACATGTCCAGGATGTTCATGAAGTTTTCAGGCTTCAAGCGACGCAGGAACAGCAGGAAGAAGCTTAAAAGTACTTCACGTTTATTCCTGGGTTTGGGGAAGAGAAAGACGCGAATTGCTAAGAAGAAACGTCGCAAGTCCATGCTGAAGAACACCTCTCGTTTCATGATGAGATTCAAGGCCAGCAAAAAGAAGAAAAAGGAGAAAGAGGCCAAAGAGAAGGCAAATGGTGGGAAGAAGCCAACCTATATGCTGCTTCGCCTGGGAGGGAACAACTCCAATGAGAAGAAAGGGGGCTTCTTCAAAGGCTTATTTGGGAAAAAGGACGGTGATGGGGCTGTTGACGACTTCAAGAACAGAAGTGTACTGCTGGGGAAGGTTGCAGCGGCAACTAACTGGCTGACCAAACGCTTCCTGTCCACCAAAATGCGGGAAAATTCGGGACAGCATGGCTGGCAAGGGCGTAGAGCTCACAGTCGGCAAGCCAGCTCCCGACGTTATCTCCAGGGTTACCAAAACAATGGTTATGAGCATGATGAAGATGTGTACGGATACCAGAAAGTATATGAAGGGTATGATGACGGTTATGGAGATGAGGCAGCATATGGAAATCATGGTCACTATGGTTACTATGACAATGACAATGGGGCAGGGGGAGCAGGATATCAAGACCTTGGTTACTATGAGGATGAAGGATTCAATGATCCAAATGCAGAATATTATCCTGATGTTCTTTATGATGAGAGCACGGGGGATTATTATAACCCTTATTCCTCTGCTGATTACTATGCTTACGAGCAGCAGCAGGCAATGTATGGTGATGAGGGTCTGGACTACTATGCAGTAATGGGTGATGACCATATGTATGGAGGGGAGGTGGATGGGTTCCTTGACCCTCAGACTCAGGGCTATTACGATGAAAATAATCAGGGAGTTTACTATGGTGGCGAACAAGTGGGCTATTATGACATTGGACAGGCAGGTTATTATGAGAACCCTTATGTATCATCTATGGGAATGCAAGGTGGATTTGCACAGGACTATCAACTTAGCTATACTGATGTTGGCATGCCATACCAAGACTTCAGCTCCCAGCAGGCAATTGGATTCCCTCCAGGAGGCCAACAGGTGTTTGGGCTTGGAAACCAAGTTGTAGGTCAAGGACAGGACCTGTATGGAAACCAGAATGTTGGCCAGATGGATCAGTATGGAGATGATATCAGTTTAGTTCAAGGGGGGGAGATGACGTTTAGAGTTCCCAGACCTCAAGTGCGCCTTTTCGGGAAAGAACGTCTAGATGTTACCTTGCCTCCTCCACCAACTTTGCCGCCTGATCCAGAATTTGAAGACATGTCAGATATCCAGTACGAAGACCAGATTCCTCTCGTGCCAGGTCAGCCTGGTGGCATGATGTCATTACAGCAACAGATGGCAATGTCACCACAACAACAAATAATGATGTCTTCTCAGCAAAATCTGTTGCCCCCTCAAGAACCAATGATGATGTCCCCTCAAATGATATCACCTCAGCAGCAAGTCATGTCACCGCAGCAGCAGATGATGTTACAACAAGACCAGAGTATGTCCCCCCAAATGATGTCATCGCCAATTATGTCACCACAGCAACAAATGATGTTAACGCAGCAGCAGCCGATGTTGCCACAACAACAGATGATGTCCCAGCAAATGATGTTGCCACAGCAGCAGACGATGCCCCAGCAAATGATGTTGCCACAGCAGCAGATGTCACAAGAGATGATGTTCCCACAACAGCAAATCATGTCACCACAAGAGCAAATGATGCCACAGCAAATGATGCTGCCACAACAACAGATGATTTCACCACAGGTAATTCAAGCTGTACTGTGTCATTGAACCTGACAACGTTCTTAAAGCTAGAGAGTCACAGGAGGGTGTCTTTGCTGACTTTCAGTGTGATTCATATTGCAATGTGAATATAAAAAAGAAAAAAATAGGACATTCAAAAGAGTACACATGCACTGCCCTTTCAAGTTACACAGTTCTCTTGTTTTAAATAATCCCACCACACAGAGAAATGTGGCAGTAACATATTCCATAAATAAAGAAAATATTGCTCAACATTGTTCAATTCAGTTTTTCTATATAGTGCCTAATCACGATAACAGTTGCCTCAAGGTGGTTTATATTGCGAGGAAAAGATTATACAATTGTATAGGAAACAATCAGACCACCACGACAGCGGTAAGGAAAAACTCACTTTTAACAAGAAGATACTGACAGAAGCAGGTTCAGGGAGGGACGGCCATTGGTTGGGGGCGAGGGGAGGGAGACAAACTAAAAACACACTGTGCAGAGAGCCAGAGATTAGTAATAACTAAGAGAGTGAATAGCGCTGAGTGAAGAAGAAACATTCATCATCGGAAGCCTCCAGAAACCTAAGCATTGTACAATATAACTAAGGGAGGGTTTGGGGTCATATGATCCAGTCTGATCCAATCTTAAAAGTAGAGCAGGTGTCTGTCTCCCAAGTTCAAACTGGGAGCTGGTTCCATAAAAGAGTGGCTTGAAAGTGTCTGCCTCCCATTCTACTTTAAAATACTCTGGGAGCCACAAGTAAACCAGCAGTATGAGAGAGAAGTTGGGGTAATATGGTAAATTTAATTCTAGATTTAATATGGAGCCAATGAAGTGAAGCCAGTATGGGAAAAATATGCTCTCTCTTTCCCTCCAGTCCCTATCAGTACTCTTACCAACTGAAGGCTTTTCGTTTTTGGGGGGGTGGGGGGTGGGGTTAGGACAGCCTGATAATAATTAATTACAATAGTCCAGTTTAGAAGTAATAAATGCATGAACTACATGTAACACTAAACGATTAGTGATAGCAGCATTAAACCATTTCATTTCATTTGAACTGGAAATAGCCATAGATAATCAATAAGCCAATGTTAGACAGGTGTACCTGCTTTCCTTTTTGCTTATGACCAACAATGTGATAAATAGTTCTTTGAAATAATTAGTGTAACATTTTCTTGATAAAAAATAATATTCCAAGCAAAATCAGCTTGCAAATCTGATAACTGCTTTTCACAGCCTGTAAGTTACTGGGCTAAAGTCCATGTTTCCATTTTGAACATAAAACTTTGTGCTCTTTCAGCAGCAGATGATGACTGACCCAATGATGATGCCACAGCAGCAGGGTTATGGCCCACCATCCATCCCTACTCCAACTGCAATGATCATTAAGCAAGCGAACATGTCCCCTCTTCCGGGACGCCGTATTCAACCCTCTCCGACACCATCCCGCCGTTCTGTCATTATGCCCTCCCCACAAATGCAACGTCATCCTTCTGCTATGGCTTCCCCAGTACCCTCTCCTATGTTTGCACAAAGACGCAGTCCCTCTCCACAGCCATCCATGAGGAGTGGTTTAATTAATGCCCAAAGACCGCCCTCTATTATGTCTAGGCAACTCTCACCTCCTTCCTCGCCTATGGCCTCCCCGCTTGCTCGTCGTAGAATGCAACCTCAGAGATCACCCTCTTCCCTGGCTCGAGGTCCTTCACCCCCCCACTCTCCCCGTTCCTCAATGATCCGGCATAGTCCCCCACCGTCACCAAGACCATCAATGAGGCGACGATCTCCACCTTCTTCACCTCGTGCTTCCATGAGAAGGCGAAGTCCTCCACCAGCACCCAGTCCTGCCCGCAGCCCATTTGAAGCTAGAAAGATTCATAGGTCACCATCCCCTACCCTCTCTCCTGCTCATGTATCTCCCCCCCTCTCTCCACAACTCAGCAGAAGACCATCTCCTTCCCCATCTCATCGTAGCTTATCTCCTGCTGGGCCCCGGCCTCACCTATCATCCCCTACTCTTTCTCGCCGCTCAACTCGACTGCTTAGGGATCCAACACCAGTGGCCCGGCCTCGGATGGGTGGAAATGTTCCTTTAGGTACTGTCAGACCCTCCCCTATGGGTCTCCGAGGACGTCCAGTGCCCCCACCAACCCAGAATGTGCGTCCTTTTCGTGCCTCCTCTATAAGAAGCAATAGGTCTTCTGTTCTCACAGTGGACTCGCTTCACTCCTCTCCTTTCCACTCCCCTCACATGGTCCACCGTGCTCCCTTGAGGAGAAGAGAATCTGGAAGATTACCTCCTCGTCCCATTGCTCGAGGACGTCCACTTGTGGCCCAGCGGTCAGTAAGAAGTATGCCACCCCCTTCCCCACAGTTGTCCATTAAACACATACCGCACTCCGCGTCCCCGCACCTCTCTCCTCGAGTCTCCCGTCAGCCCTCCCCCCTCCTGCCCCCTCGTGCTGTCCACTCGCCCACTTATACACCAGAAATTATGGCCTATGCTGATCCTTACACTCAACAGTCACATCAATTTGTAGCTCCATCTTCTCCCATGCTTTCTGGTGCTTTGCAGAACCAGTCTCTCCGACAAGCCTCCTTCTCATCCCCCCTTGGACCTCAGGTAGCCCAAATGGTAGGGATGGAGGATATGGTTCCTGAAGTAGACCCTTATGTTCCCTTGTCCCCTACTTTGTCTGGTGCAATGCAAAACCAGGCTATTCGTGATGCCTCCTATGTCCCCTCACTCCAGAGGCCAGTGTCACCTTATGGTCAGCCTATGGCACCCTCATCTCCTATGCTGTCTGGGGCTCTGCAAAATCAAGCTCTACGAGATGCATCTTATGT